TTTTTTTTACAAAATGGCGGTGCCAGAGGTCAGCAAAGAAAGTTTCTTCTTACGGGTAGTGTTCTGCGGCCGGAAAGATTTCTCGTCGAATTTTTTATCTGCAACAAAAAAACAAAAATTTTTTAGTTTTATATAACATTAGCTCGGGAAGTACATACGGAAATTTTAAAATACCGTTTTTTGTAAAAATGGTGCACGTTTAAACCAAAAGTTTCATTTTTAGATGAAAAATTACGTTAAAAATTGTTCATAACAAATAAAGTTAACAACGAAACGTAAAATCCGTACGTACTTCCCTAAATAATGTAATTTTGAAGCTACAGTTAAAATTTCAAGTAAATTGATGAAGGTTTGTTGAAGTTATGTTTCCGGCCAGTTTGAAAAATGCACTTTTGAGAAAAACGAGTTTAAAGTTTTACGTAGCATTTTTCGATAGACATTTTTTATTTACCTTTAGTCTGCGATGCCTGCACCATACAATTGACCTTCTACATTGATGTTCTCTTCCTCTTTTTCCTTTCTGGCTGATTGTGAAGACAACCGAGCTTCTTTTGCAGCGTCAGTCAGCGATCGCTCCGAAAATTTGATGCGGCGCGTGTCAGCATCCGCGCAGAAATTATGGCAGTTCGGCCCGATTGTTATGCCTAATATCTCCATAATTTTCATAATACTTGACAAGCCATCGTTGTAGACACATACGGCTATAGTTGCTGCAATGTCCATAATTGTTTTGCCACTTGAAACTGATTTCGGAGCCACCGACCAAACCGTTGCATTGAAACTCTCGTTACTATTTTGAGTAAAGCCGCCTATGCATCGATTAAGGAGATCGTCTCTGCTTAGATCCTCGTATATTGGCTTTATTGTATCAAAAATATGTTGTGGAAGAGCTGGCTTATGCGAATATTTATGTAAAGAATTGGTGGCTTTCGCTTTCTGCCACGAACACCACGAATTTTCACCAGGTGGGCATTTCTCGTGCTGCGGCTTATCATCGGTCGAAAGCTTATGGTACAATGTCGCCCAGATTTCGTTTTTCATTTTTTCAATAGAACTATGATTTCGACGAATGGCTAGTCCGTAGTATATCGAAAGTTCGTCTATAAGCTTCCCGGTTAATTTGCCTTTTCCTCCGAGGCCTTTAGTTGTTCTTTTCAAATTGCGGAGACGAGTGCCCATTCGTTTTTGTACGTGATTGATACATTCCTTTTTGTTTACTGTGAATTTTTCATATGGCTGTGCATCTAAAATACTTTGGAAAGTCTTTGAATCTCCGTCCCCAATGTAATTTTCATATTTGATAGAATGTTTAGTTTCTGAGCGCTGAAACATTTCAATAACTGCATCAGCTTCCATTTTGCCGGCGGACCCCTCGTGATTTGCTTGACATTCTTGTGGGTGAGTCTCTAACCATTCTGCATACTCTTCAGTACCAGTTTTTTTATTCCAAAATTCGCAAGCTTTACAGTATTTAGATTTCACAACAATATCAATTACTTTTCCACTAAACCATCCGATAAGCGACACCAATCCATACAGAGACGAAAAACCGCGTTTTCTCCACGTTCCATCGCCTGAGACAGTTATACCATTTATTTCATTATTTTCAATAGACTTAGCCTTCTCCTCTTGTGTTGCTTTCTCCATACTTTGTTGACAAACAGCTTCTGTTGCGACAGAAATCGTGCGGACAACTTTATCATAAAAAGAATGAAAAATCGGGCGTGGAAGATCCATAAAAGCGCAAAACTTTTCTATTCCGTTTACACCGATTCCTAATAACCGCATGGCAAAGATAATTCTGCGATTAATTTCATATCCTTTATCAACAAATGGGCAACTCGGAATGAAAGTTTGTTCACAATTCTCACAAGAAATGACGATTTTAAATCCTAAGCCACGCTTGCCAGTTTCGGTAAATTTTACATTTGATTTGCACGTTTTACACACTACAACTTCTGAAATGGCAGAAAAAACAGCGATAAAGTTCAATAGACGGTAACCAAATGCTGTATCCACTTCAACGTTATAACAATCTTTAGACAGCTTCAGTTTTTTGGCAGATGTGCTAACGCTCTCGGGCTGAGGTGACTCCATTTCAAATCTATTCAACGGTCGTCTTTTTGATATATTTGATCTCTTTGTATATCCTATGCTTCCTTTCGATCCCTTTCGATCACGATATTCTATGGTCTTGTTACTCATTTCTTCCGTTAATTTATAAGAACTAATCAGGAACAACGAAATTTATATAATGTTTCCACAGAAAGCAAAGCGCTGTGCGATCAATGTTACTTCAACGGTCGTACTAATAATACACAAATATTGTTAGGTTTTATATACTACTTGCGTCATCTATATTCAATGTCAAGCTTACAATATCTTTGAATCTACAGATAAGTTGACCCTTTTATTATTCCAGGAGATATAGTCATACAGCAGCGCGCCACACACAGGCTCTTGGAAGAGGCTCGGAGTGCGCTGCAAGGTGCTTAGCCGCAGTTCACGGAATAAGCACTTAAAACCTTTTCGTTCTTATAAAACTTATTATACCTTATTTCTAAGACCCTAAGGCATCATTTAAGCAAAACAAAATTTTTTCCATTTTTCTAAAATTCTAGAGTGGCATTACCCCTTAA